AATCGAGCAGTGTGAACGGAGACGTGCGACCGTTTCTACTGTACGGTCGCACGTCTTCTGTCGAACCAGCATGTTCGAAAACCAGCCGGGAATCGTACGATTCTCGGCTGGTTAGAACGGTGCTCGGAAGACAAATGCCGAACGGGCCGGTGTGCGCACGCGCACACTGCCCGTTCAGCATTGCGGTCATCGGAAGCCCGCCCGCTTGCGATGATCGAGAGTGCGATCTGCCTGTCCAAGATAGGCAGATCGTACGTTTTTTTAATCCCTGTACAACCATCGCAAGACTAAAGTCTTGCGATGGTTGTAGAGTGTATGGCCACCTTTCGGCACCATTAACACCTGTAAGGCCTTGTTCACATCAAGCGCGGAGCAGGAGCAGAGCAGGTGCAGACCGGATCAAAACTGCGTCCAATGTATTCCAATGGTATTTTTTGCTCCAGTTCACATCGCAGCGTGCAGTTCCAGAGCAGGTGAAAAAACTGCAGCGTGCCCTATTTTACCTGCTCTGAAACGTATGAGAACTCATCAAAAACACATGCAAATGCCTGGAACGCACTGAAAGCCCATGTTAATCTAAAAAAACGGCCCGGATCGCATCAAAAACGCGGCACAACCCACTGCACTGCGTCTGCAGAAACCTGAGCGGATCTGCTCTGCATTTGGTGTGAACAAGGCCTTAGTTTGTGTGATTAGGGATTCCTGCGTCAGGAACTTGTGTTTTCCTGCAGCAGAAATCCCCCTAATCTGGCATTTACAAGCGTAAGCTGTCACCTATTCAATTTAATGATCAGGTGACAGCCACTGCACGTAATGGTGTGTAATATGATTGCATGTAGTTGGGAATCAATCACTCTCCTGAATGCATGATCAATGCGTTCAAGGCAGTGGCGGACCTAGGGAACAACAAATAAAACCACACAAAAAAAAAAAGTTGGAAAAATGGCATTGCTGTATAAAGTACTGCTGAGATTTGTAGTCCTCTATAGAGGGTGCCATTCTACATTGCAGAATGGGACCTGCTATATAGAACTACAAATACCAGCAGTACTTTATACAGCAATGCCATCAATTGGGCTATGAAAAATAATGATTTTATTTATTAACTTACCTTCACCTTCTCTGGCTGTTTCCTGGTGGGGGAGGCTGCAGAAAAACACCCCTGTGTGTGTCCATCTCAGCGCGCCCAATGGATAGTGATTGGTTTCTAACTGCATGTAATCATATAATATATGATAATATATGCTACAGCTCAGGCACTGTGCCACATGACTGTACCAATATGTTGGATACATAGCGATTGGGTGTTATTTCCATCACAACCACACAGCTTGACTTTCTGTTCCAACTGTTCTTCAAATACCTAATAACCACCTCCCGTCCCCCAAATGTTCAGAAACGCCCGGACAGGAGCCTTCTGGATGCGGGTGGGTGTCTTTAAATGTCCTTCGTGCCCGTGGGAAACTGCCAGAATTTGAAACTGCCAGCGATGGCTGTTTACATACAAGCGGCCTGGTGTCTGTAAAGCTTGTATAACTTGTATGATGAATCTCTCTGAGTTCAGTACACAATCTCCCTCCACTCTCCTCCCCGGGCTCTGATGTATATTAGACTTTTTTTTTTTAGACGTTTTTATTTGTTTCGTCAAAGAAATCTTTACGTTGTTTTGGATTCGGAGGCAACGAACGTCTGAATCCAAAACTGCACACTGAAACCGCAAAACGAGCAGTGGCCATATGGGCCGCCGGCGCGTTCTGCACATGCGCACCGATGTTTTGGAGTAGATCTTGGTATACACCAAGATGGCGGCACCCGCATGTTCGAGCGCCGCCATCTAGGTGTATATCAAGAGCTACTCCAAAATGATGGCACGCATGTGCGAAACGCACCGGTGGCCTATCGTTCAGTGTGTGATGTCACATGATGATGTTCCGCCTCCAAGCACCGTGGCGCTGTAATCACAGCGCCACCTGTCTCAGCGGTCACTAACTGCAGCTTCTGTCACAGAAGCTGTGGCAGAAGCCACGGTCTTTCGAGTTAAGAATCCCCCTATGTGATATTAAATTACAGTTACAGGTCCCCTTTATGGAGACATCAGGGGTCTCCAAGACCCCTGTCACCTAAGGACCCCCAAAGAAGCTGATGAAGCAGAGATCTGCTTCACCAGCTTCTCTCCAGCTTCTGTAGCCAGGAATGACAGATGAATGTGGACGTAATATAAGACATGTGCATTCGGATTCGGACGAACCTGCAAATCAACGAAAATCAGTTAATTTGGCCGTTCGTAGTGGGGCACCACAGCCTGCAGCTTCTCCTCGGATCCCCACTGCTCTCCCCAGCCTGTATTATGGGCAGAGGCAGCGGGGATACAAGGAGAAATAGAGCGCTAAGCTGGGGGGGGGGAGGAGGAGGGAGCTAGATTTGGTTACCAATTTTTTAATTTTTTTACACTTAGTCCCCTATGTGATAGGTGCTTGGTCAGGAAGCCAGACTGCGTAGCAACAAGTGAAACCTGCTTCCTAGCCAGCCAGGAAGCAGGACGGCATGTCAAGACCTACCTTTGGGCTTCCTGATTGGCTAGGAAGCCGGACTCAAACGAGTCATGACGTACCCCCCTGCCTTACTGATTGGTTAGGAAACCAGGCTGCCTACCTAGTAAGGAGCCAATCAGGAAGCCCGGCGGCATGTCATGACCCGCCTTCCTGAGTGGCTAGAAAGCGCTTCACTTGTTCCTAGGCAGCCTGGCTTCCTGACCAATCAGGAGGCTGTTTATTATGTGCCACCCGGCTTCCTGATTGGTTAGGAAATCAGGCTGCTTTGCAAAACGTGAAGCTGACTTCCTAGCCAATCAGGAGGCGGGCCATAACCCACCGCCCGGCTCCCTGATTGGAAAGGAGAGGGAAATTGCCTCTAAATGGAAGTTCCGGTATCGGGTAAGGTATCGGAGCATTTGGGCGAGTACTAGTATCTGTATCAATGCATCCCTATTGCAAATCCATTTTATTGATAGTTGCGATTCCCCGCGCAGGGTCCCCTTCATCAGGCTCAGAAATGACAGTCTAGTATGTCTATATAAAGGTTGTGGTACTTTTATACAATGTCATTTCTTAGCCTGATGAAGGGGACCCTGCGCGCCCCCAAAAGCGCTCATCATTTGAATCACAACTATCAATAAAATGGATTTTTGCACCAACATGGAATCTGAACATCTGTGTTGGATGATATGTGGTATTGCACATAAAAGATGCTCCCACAAAACATGTCACAGGTTACCTGTGGGATTTTTTATGGGGGCATGTTTTATGTGCAATACTATACCGGGCAATTAGGAAGCCGCCTCCATGCTGTTTGGCCAGTTCGATGCTGATTCCCTGGGAAGCCGACTTCCTAGTCAATCAGCATCAAACTGGCTTCCTGGCCAATCAGCATGGAGCTGGTCAAATAACATAGCTCCATGTTCTCCTCATGGCACTGACAGTCAGAGGAAATCTCCCTCTGACCGTAAGTTCCAATATCGGAGGTAAGTACAAATACTCGCCCAAATACTTGGTATCGGCACTGATACTAATATCCCCACTTAAAATGATGCATGTTTACATATGTACGCGTTTGGATTAATCTGTCCTTTGTCCAGTGGAGTAGCCAATGAGATTTCTTCAAATAAACACATCTTACGTCTACATGTGTTTTGGTACGTTTAGAAGATTAAATCAATTCCTGGACGCACCTGACTTCTATTTTTTCTAAACACAGCTACCCTGCCTGCAGATAAAAATATCTAAACGCAAGGTGTGAGTAGATCCATTGGAAATCATTAGATGCCTATACATACATTCAGAAAATTATCCTAAAAAAAAAACCATATAAACACATCTAATCGCAGCTAGTGTGACTGTAGAGGGCTACATTCGGGATATACATTGCATGGTACATGTGACAGCAGCATACATTAGAAAAATAAACCTGCAAGGGGTGTAGTTTTTGGCCAAACGAGGACTTTGCTCGCCTCTCTGCTACAACTCTAGAGTCTTGCCGAATATTGGGGCGTGTTATATTAAATAACATCCTAAAGGGGGAGCTAAGAGAAGAATACCAAACACACACATTGCACTGCACAACACACATGAGATAGCCGCAATCAACTGCGCATGTGTGAGATCCCCCACGTGACCTCAGCACAGCGCCGCTGACCCGATTCACCGTCTCACTGTTATAAAGAAAGCCAATCATCAGCGAGTGTTCGGCTGGGACTGAGGCTAGACACGCAGGCGGATGCTAGCGTGCTCACAGCGTGTTTCCGGTTCCGGTCTGTGGCTGTCCGGAAGCGCCAGTCAGCAGCTACAGCAGAGAGGTATGGAGGTATGGAGGTATGGAGGGGGTGGGTTTCTCTAGAGAAGTGCTGTTCGGTCTGTTCTAGGTACGGTATTCCCGTGTCGTCCGAGAGTTTCCTCTTAAATGCGGATCCGTTATTGTCTGTTTTTACAAGTCTGCATGTTTGTCGGAGAAGTTTGCTGTCTGTGGTTCTGATTGCAGTATGAATGGAAGCTCTCACTAGTAATATCCTATCTCTCCTCATAGTGTACACATATGGGGCCAATTGGTACAGGCCGTGTGCTAGAAGAGGTGTATGCCATAATGTCTGCCATAATGTATGCAGCTGCTTGCATCCATCATCATCCTTCATAGAAGTCAATGGATGTTCATAAAGAGCCATGGGCAGGGGAAATGCCAGGGTGGCTTTCCTTTGTGTGACGTTTCACTGTGAAAAGGCCTTTTATAATTGGAATGTAAAGCCAATGTCATTTCCTCTTATTGTATGTGTTTTTATCTGTTTCCCAGTAGGGAGATTTCTGTTCGTGTCCTGTAGACATAACAGGAAAAGGGAGAAACTCCAGTGTGAGCAAATGGGTGTCCCCATTGGAAGAGTATCCTGACATCTCAAAATTTAGCATTTTTTTTTCTTTCCTAGGTAGATGAATATGCCTAGCAAATTCTAGTAATTCCTCACCACCCTTACAAAAACTTAAAGGAGAACTATGGGGTTATGGCTTTTCCCCATAGTTCTCCGTAGGGTAACGGGAGGACACAAACTAGCGTCCTCCCGTCACCCTAAGCTCAGTATACCGCGAGCTACAGCTCGCGGTATACTGAGGCGTTGCAGTATACTGCGAGCTACAGCTCGCAGTATACTGAGACGCTGAAGCGGATCCCGACAATTATGTCTGGATCCACCCAGCTGTGTGACTGACAGCTGGCTCTGCCTATCTAGAGGCAGAGCCAGCTGTACCCGCCCCCTCCCGTTCCACCAGTTAGCGCTGGAGGATCAGAGCGGGTAGGGGGAATCCAGTCCCTCCCCTGTCATGGCGGAGAGCCGTGACACGATCGAGAAGTGAGCGAATGCCGGTATGTGTTCGCTCCCTTCCCGATCTACTGAGCCGACCTGTGACAGTCTCATTGTCACAGGTCGGCTAGAACTATGAGGTGAGTGAAAAGCACTCGCCTCATAGTTCTCCTTTTAAAGTAGTATTAACTCTCACTTTATTTCAATAATGAATCCATATCAAACGGATATACATTCCCAGCAAAGCATTGCTTTACATTTTAACCCAAACACTAACAATCATCATGTTTCTGAACAGTTGCTTCCAAGTCTCTCGGCTCAGCTTCCCTGAACATCCTGTCCAGTACAAAATCACAAAGGACAGTGCAGACACCAGCAACTGTTCGTCTACTAGCTTGGAGAAGGGAGGAGAGGCGGCCAGGGTGGAGGGGAGTAGCTTGATTTGGTGTGTGTTTGTGGAGACACACACACACAGCTTACTAGCAGACACAACCGTGACTCCATAGCACTCTGCTTGAGAAAGGAGTCACTCTTAAACAGGATATCAGGACCAGTGCTCATGGGACCAGCTGATTCTGCAGGGAACTAAAACATCAAGGAGCAGCACTCATTGTAAATTATTTAATCAGCATTTTAAATAGCTTAAAATCCTTTTGACTTTGCAATTCAGCCTCTCTGGGTTCCGCGGTTTGAACTCCAGCCAGGACACTACCTGCAAGGAGTTGGCATGTTCTCCCTATGTTTGCATGGGTTTCCTCCGGGTACTCCTGTCTTTCCAAAGGCATGCTGGAAGGTTAACTGGCTCCTGTCTAAAGTTAGCCCTAGTATAAAATTATGCTGAGCACACCCAAAATGGCTGCCTCTCCTCCTACTATGACTGCAACCACATAATTGATTTATTGATAATGAGAATAGTTGTCAACTATTCTCATTATTGATTAGCTGGTTGGATCTCCTAGCTCTCTCTTCCACACTGAGAGGAGGGCACAGCAAGCAGTGGGAGGGTGCAATAGCCAGCCTGCTATTGGCTATTGCAATTTGAAATGGCCATTAGCAGGCTGGCTATTGCGCCAGCCCACTACCTGCTGTTTACATTCAACTGCTGTCTGCGGAATCTTGCCACTGGCAGTTATCATTCCCTGGCTGGAAGCTATTCAAGTGCCATGTGCTTACAATACAATTATAAAAGGTTGGAAAAGGTCATTTTCTGTTCCAGTCTTACAAATTCTGGTGTGGGAGGTGCACTGCAGTGCCACCGTGCCTCCAACCCACAGTGTGATCACCCGCACTGGAACACATGGTAGTGCGATTGCAAAAAATTATGCGTGCAGTTTTATTCTGAAGTAAACTTAGTAACACTGCATTTGTGTATTTTATATTAAATTAGGGATGGTATTTATTTTTTATTCAATTACCTCCTACCTGACCTACTACCCATTTAATGAGTGCTTTGAGTCCCCAGGGAGGAAAGCACAATAGAAATCTACATTGATTAAACCGAGCACACAGTTGTGGATGTGACTTCTTGATGTAAAAGAAATGGAAGCGTAGCACATAAGTGCGCTGTCTTAAGGTGGACAGTCGAAAATTTTCGTTTCTGACACGAACCCTCATTCAATTATACGTAGACTTCTCCATCACGCATAGGCAAATGTCGATTTCGGAATCGTTCATTAGCCATGCTAACCAACCAGTTTTTGGCGAACTATGAAAATAATTTCCTTTTGCGCATGTGCTGTGTTCTTGTAGAGATTTTTGGATGAACGAAAACCACACTGATTCATCCCCTTTTTTTTATTTAATTTTTTTTATTTCCATTGGGCCAGAGAGAAACTTTCTATCCTGACCAATCAAAACATTTTGATTGCAACATCAAAAACTAAAATCAGTGATGTACTAATAACTGTTTGTTTTCTGTTAGAATGTTTGTGTACGATTTCCGAATGAAAATCATACAAAGTTATTTTGTTAGTTATACATCTTATTCCATTGAGGAGCATAGGGCCGAAGTGAAAGACTCCAACTGTTCCCAGCCAGGTCAGGTTCATGTCAACACCCTGGGAGGCCTGAGAAAGTGCCTTGGGCTTTTCTGATCCGTGTGGAGATTTCAATCTTGGTTGCACTGTCCGGCGTAATCCGGCACCTGAGTTATTCAAAGGTGTTAACCTTTTCAACTTATTGGCCAGATACGGTGAAGCTGGAGAGGTTTTGGTGTGTTTACCTCCATCAACGTAGTCTTGGCTACAATGGACCTGCAGCTGTGGAGCTTTCAGGTTGACCGTCCAGCTTATTGTGCATATCAATGCTATGTCTTGCAAAGAAAGTACAATGTCATCAGCAACGTTGAGGTCATGTTATTGTTCCATGGTGATGGTGGCAGTGCAATCCTCTATTTGGTTTATAGCCCCTCCCTCTAAGCCAGGAGATTTCTGATTGCTGCGAATTGATTACACTGAGAGGAGACTGAAAATGATTGACTTTTTTTATAATGTAGACTCAGCAAAATATTCTTTCATTGTTATATACTCTCAGCATGTTTGTTTATTTTATTTGCTTAGTTTTTTCTTCCTTAGGAATAATAATATGCAACTCTGAAGAGGCCGGACCATGGCAGACCTGAAAAAGCTGTATACAGACCCAGCCAGGTGACAGAAGTGCAGCAAACCTAATTTGAAACATGTAATCTATTTGGCAGCCCTGGAAAAAAACTGTGCTGCTTTTGATCCAATGGGGAAGAGGGCATGTACATGGGCATCTTACTCAAAAGCAAGTCATACACAGTATGAGTTCAAGTTTTACTGAGTTTCTGAGGGGGTTACTTCTAAGTTTTTGTTTTCCATGAACATTGACTTGTATAGGGAAGAGGAGCAGCTCAGGAATAGAAAAAAGCTGGCGTACATGAGCCCAACCTCACACACCACTGGCGGCATGTAATGATTAGCAGGAAATGTTGTCTAATAAAATAATGGACAGTACACTGTGAAATGTATTATCCTGAACAATTAAAGTGACGCCAAACTCGGGAGTTAAATTTTAAAAATGCATTCAACTACCTTTTTTAACTATTAACAAAAATGGATCTTATTTGTGTATCTCTCGGCTGTGGGTCCTCAAATCTCTGAATTCATGCTGACACTGTCCTTCCTTCTGGAGGGGGGCTACTTCTGTTCCCCATGGTCCTTGTGTGTGTTGTAAAGTAACTACCACTCCAAGCTCACTTCTGTGATGGATTACAATCTCACATTTAGTTTACTAATTTGTATTGAGATTGTAGTACATCACAGGAGCGATCTTGGAGCATTGAATATTTTACAACACACAAAGGGACCATGGGGAACAAAAGTGGTCACCCTCCAGAAGGAAGGACAGTGTCAGCACCAATTCAGAGATGATTTGAGGATCTACAGACGAGTGATACACAAATAGGAAATACGTTTGTTAATAGTTAAGGTACTTGAATGCATTTTTAAGATTTACCTCCTGAGTTCAGTGTCCCTTTTAATTCACCAAACAAAATCTGGAGAATTACTTCCACATTGGGTATTTTCTGCTTTTTAGCAATAATCCCTGTAATGGCTGGTGTATTGTGAATGTCAGATCTCCCTGCTGGAGTCCGATCAGATGTTTAGTGAAAAAAAAAGCAGCTCTGGCAGTTTAGAATTTTCAGATTTGCTGTATTAATGTCACGCGACAGACTGGCAGCTGTCTGAACAAAATGTCTGCGTTTGGCAGGTTTCAGTGAGCTTGGAACTTGTTCAGATGAGCTGCAAACTCTGCTTCCCCTTTTGTAGTTTTTCAGCAGCTAGATGTGGTTTGCGACAGGAAAGACTATACTGTAAGTCTGCAGGATTTTGGAGCTGTCATTTACAGAGATGAAAGGACAGGGTAGCATTTCAGTCCATTTTCTGACCTTACTTGAGCTCGCCCATGCTGTGTCTAAGTGCTCCTTTCATACATATAGGTAAATGGATCTGTTACTCATGCAGAAAAGCTCATGTGTTCTGGAAATGCAGAATGGTGAGCTGCATCTTCTACAATAAAAAGAAACACTCTAAGGAATTCATCAAAAGAAGAAAAACTCCAGACAAAACCCTTTTTTTTCTGGTAGAGCAGAGAAGGGTCCGAACCAATGTCAGGTCTTTCTTGCCATTTATGTCCCCACTGGGCTGATTTTCCCTCTCCAGCTTTCAGTCACCAAGACCAGTATTGAGGAAATCATCCTATCCTGACAAATGTTTAACCCTTTTTTTTCCCACCATACCTAAATGTTGTTATTCTTGTCCCCATGGAAGAACTTCTCTTCACTTCAGTCACAAAGGCAGCATGTTAGGTTTTAAATGCTGTGGTTGTCTGTGTTGTTGGAGAGATTTCCGTTGACAGTGGGTTTAACCCTTTCTTACTGTATCCAGGACAAGGAACAAACAAAACTATTATGGTTGGAATTGAACTTTAATCTGGATGATGAGGATAAATTACTCCTTGATGAGGTTTAACATAATTGGTGATCATTTGTCAAGCCACTGGGTGATCCCTACAATCACCTTCCACCAGTGACTACAAGTACAGTACATGAATGTAGTCTTTTAGGTATCCCAAAACTTTCAGTAATTGTTTCTTTTTTCTTATACATTACAGGTTTATCTGTATTTATCCAGCTTACATCAATAACAAGAAGACAATTGCAGAGGGAAGGAGGATACCCATTGAAAAGGTTAGTTCAAATTACCTGTATATGAAACGCAACTATCATACAACAAACTGCTTAGTCTTTTTTGCGTAGGAGAGATTGCAGCTCTGAATATTCTTTCGTTATCTGGCCAGCTGATTGCTAGGGGTTTCTAACACTGGGCAAAAGGTTTTCAACATTGGATTTCAAGTCAAGATTTGTTGCAATGCCATGTAAAGGGGCTAGTTAGGGGGCAGTGTCTTAGGAGGTTCCTTGTGCAGTTATTACAGCAGTGCAGTAAATAACACCTATGTCCTCATCCATGCGCCATGAGGCGCTGAGGGATCTCAGGTGCTGTTCTATTGAAAACTGTGTTCCTGTTTACTGACAAACAGTAAACACTGAAACACAGGGTAAATATTGCAGCATACAGAATGCTCTTTATTACTGTTCATCTCGGCTTATCTTTTTTCCCCCCCATTCAGGCTGTACAGAATCCTACATGTACTGAAATCGCAGATGTATGTCGTGCAAATAAGCTAAATGCCACTGTAGAGGTGACGTATTTTTATTTTTGCCAAGACCAGTTTTGTCCTAAGAATCCCCCTAGCCATTCTAAACTTATTTCTGTGTACAGGCAGACAAGATGTATACACGCGAGTGGAACCGGGATGTACAGTACAGGGGCAGAGTGCGTGTACAGCTAAAAAACGAAGATGGCACAGCATGTGTGGACAAACTTCAGTCAAGTAAGGCTTCTTTAAAAAAAATATTTTTTAGAATGTCACATGTCCACATCTTTCATATTCAAATTATTTCAGATTGCATGTATTTTGGTCCGTCCTTTTTTGAAATATTCAACCTTACATTTATATCTGAATGGTTTAAGGAAAAACTATGGGTGATGTTCAGTGAGCTGAAATAAGAGAAGACCTCTAAAGAGTGTGCTGTAAACAGCCCAATAGGCTTAAATATGAGACAAGGGAACAACCAAGCTATACACAGCACAAGGCACAGGCTGGATAGGTAATTAAAGTGTATGTAAAGCCCAAAGTGGATAGAATGTTAAAGGGTTAGAAATCCTGTAATTTATTGTGTCCCTACTGGAAGCCCGGGATTGTGGCTGGCGGCTTCCCTTTTGGACTGGAGAATGCAGGGCGTCACTTCTGGAAGGGTAGCATCATTTTCAGGTGGCAAAGGCTCTGGGTTCCAAGCCACACTTTCGTTGCAGAGGAAAGGGGATGGGTCTTTTGGTGTCTTAATGGCAGTTCCTCCCATCGGAGGCTGCAAGGACACCACACAGGATGCTACCTGTTACATGAAGCCCCTTTCCCATTTACGGATTCTGGTGGACTCGGGTGCCCCTGGCACCAGTCTTGCTCAGGTAAGATGGAGGTTGTTCCACCTCCTCCCTTGCCAATGTTGTACTCCTTTTATTTCCTGAGTGTCACTTGGGGACCCTTGGTGGTGGGCTTAGGCTGGCAGGACATATGTTGGGTCCCTCTATTTTGTTTGCAGGCATTCCTGATTTCCTAGAAGGAAGTGCGCAGTTTGCAGTGCCATGCTAAACTATGCTCACACTAAGCCCTTATGCCAAGTCTGCCTTGATGGTCTCTTTAACTAAATACCTGGTCTTGAAGTGGTTAAGGAGGGAATCGGCTAATGCCTACAATAACCTGTTGTCATCTGTTGAGTTTCCACCTTTCACTCTTTTAGATCCTAGATACTGGGCTCTGCTGTTATCTGGGAAAATGTTGTGAAGGATGGACAAGGGTAGACATTTTAGTGACCTGGATCCTTCCCATGCAGATTGTTCTGAGGAAGAATATAGCTGTCATGACTACTCTAACAGAGTTACCAGATGCAAGCTTCCCCTGGAGGATGTAGATGATCTGCTTAAGGCTTTTGATGAGACCTCGGAAATTCAGGAAGAATAGGTTAAGCCAGGGCTCGACAAATCCCAGGTGCTAGGTCGCCAGTGCGACCAGAAATTGCGTCCTGGTGCCTGGGCATTTTGTCAACCCGTTCACTGCACATCCATTTTCTGCCGCCGCAATAACTGTTCCCGCTGCAGACTCGGACTGTCAGCGGTTTCTCCATAGAGGCTGTAATCGGCTACGACAGTATGTGTCAGAGGGGACAGATAGCCGATTACAGACTGTAAGGAGAAACCGCTGACAGTCTGTGAAATCCCCCCCAACTTTCTCATTCAGGTCCCTCCTCTGATTGACAGCAGGCAGTGGGTGGGTGCAATAGCCAGCCTGCTCTATTGGCTACTGCAATTTAAAAGAACCAATAGCAGGCTGGCTATTGCTGCAAGCAATGAAGTAAAAAAAAAAATTAAAGTCCCCAGCCCCCTGTGAATGTGTGCATTTAACAAAAAAATAACCTGGCTTCCAACTCTTTTTAGCTGACTCTCGGTTTCACAGAAAATGTGTCAAGCCCTGGGTTAAGCTTTCTAAGCATGTATCAGGGTGTGCTTTGTGGCTCTTTGCTTAAGCTATGGACGGAGCCATAGCGAAAACCTTTCTGGTTTAACCTGAAACAAACATTTCCCTATGACAATGGTCCAGCGCTAGTCTGGAACAAGTCCCCATGTCTAGACGCTACTTCCTCAAAGATCTCTAAAACAGCAGACCTTTGAGGACAAGGGGTGTCACGAAGGACACAATGGACAAAAAGCTCAATGTCCTTCTCAGGAGAGCATAAGATTTGAATCCCTGTGTAGCTAGAAATCTGAAATTCTGGCTTAAACAGTTTTAATCCCACTTGGAAGCAGGGACTCTTGGGGAACAGTTGTTGGAATCACTACATATGCTGTTTGTCTGTAGAATCCATTGCAGATGTTGGCTAGATCCTTGGCCCTAATTAAAGGAGAACTATGGGGTGAGTGAATTACACATTATGAATTCCCCATAGTTAGAGCTAACGTGTGACATTGAGACTGCTGTCACATTATACTATAATTCTTTATATACATTCATATATGTGGGGTCTTCCACCTCTCTATATGTATAAACTATTCGTAACCACAGCATACACTTTGCTACTGAACTTGTAAGTCCAGCCACGCTCAATTTGTCCCCTTACTCCTTTTTTTTTTCTTCTTGGATATCTACTTGGTAGGGATGCACAGATACCAAGTACCAATACTTTTCCAGCTCTAAGACTAGACTATAGAAACACTCAAACATTAGGAGGCAGCTGCTGTCATTTTTAAGTAGCATTGGCTACGGGGCTCCTGGGAAAGAGAGCGACCCAATTTTTTTCCGACCAAGTACTTGTCCCAGCACTCGCAGATACAGCTACTGATGCATTTTTGTTTAGTGTCATGTGACCGTTTTTCTAAAACAATACAGACTAATGATTTCAGGACAGCTGAGCTGCGACCCTGGTGGTTCTTGTGAATATGCCATATATCGGTACTGATACAAATCCTGGTATCTGAACATCTTTACTACTTAGCATTGCATTTCATGCCACCCAGAACCCTAAACTGTTTTGACTCTCATTAGGAAGTAGTTGTCTGCTTTGCAGTTTATAGTTTAGGAAATCTGAACAGATAGTAGGAATGGAATGTACGTGCTGACAGAGCAGTCACTTTCCTGTCAATCTGCTTTGTGACAACACAGTTCTGTTTTTGGTTTAAGCGATAACCTTGTGTGCAATGCAGTTCAGCAGGAAGCCATTGACTTTTTTCTCAGCCTCTTACACAGTCATTTGTCTTGTCTGAAGGGAAAGCCGTGATGCTTCGTGTGGCAGATGAGATCCCCAAGCTAAAGACTCGGACACAAAAGACAGGAGGAGGAGATCAGACAGTCCAGCAAGGAGAAGGTGGCAAGAAAAGCAAGAAAAAGAAGAAGTGATGGATTGATGTAGATCGAGAGCAGCGCCGATTCAGTTTCCAGAGGTTGCTACATGACAACACAGATCAACATCTCCATTGTCAGCAATACACTCTTAGCTCCAAGTCCTCGACATGTCATGTAAAGGTCTACTAACTCCACAATACCTAGTAATGCTTGAAACACAAAATGAACCGATGTTATGGGTCATTATGCCCCTACCAACTCCTTTATTATTCTTCAGATAAAATGTAATTAGCGGTTTCCAGACAAAGTACAAATAATAGGAGCTGGCAGTTTGTTTCACATAAAATTACATTTGATTTCTCTTGTCATAATGATTTGATATTCATGACAGATCTTTACAGACATGGACATTTTAGTTCTCAAACTACCTGCATACCCCCATGCTGACTAGAAAAACAAAAATACAATTATTTGGATATGTCACCATGTCATTATAAAATAAGGAAGTTACCTTGCGTTGATTTATATTTTGGCAAGCCAAAAAGGTTTTTGGTCGGCCTAATCACAACAGTGATGTTATATTTTGTTGGCTCAATACTTCCTTTGTACGAACTTCAATCATTGAATAAAACATTGTATTTATGTTTTAATAATGGGTGGTAATGTACGTTTGTATCTGTCTCTATGATCTTGGAGAGATTGTGTATAGCAAATGGTGAATTCTACAGCTGGGTACACAC